ACCAATAAGACCAAATTTGTTTTATTCATTTTTTTCTAATAAAGATAAAAGAACTTGGATGGGTGAGCTTTTTTTTCTTTCTCTTTTTTTTCTTTTTACTTGCTTCTGTGAGCAGCCGAAATCATCATTGCCTGGTAGCTGCACCGAGTTAGATCCACTTTTTGAAATGAAAAAAAAGAAGGAAAGAAGAGATTGATTCATCTGATTTCATTCAAATTTTGTATTTTGTTACTTAAAATTACATAGTTTAAAATGAAGTGAAACTGAAGTAAAACTTTGCAACTCAAAACATTTTCAAACATAATTAAATGAAATAATAAAAAAATAAGAAATTAAAAATTACTTCTTCTTTGACTGAACGAATTTTATAATTATGTGCAAAAATTTTCCGATTCCCTTAAAAAGGTTTCGAAACATGGAAGAATATGCAAAAAGTAAATTTAACTTTAAAAATCCAAACTTTCGTTACTAAAAAATTATATCGCAAATCTTATGTATAACGATAATTATTGAATCGTATGTGTCTTGATAATATTTTATAAGTTACGGAATAAAATTGCAAAAGTTTAATTGAAAAATCACTTCCTTATTAAAATGTCGTAGTCGTAGCTAATTGAATAAGCCTATATCGAAACTCCCTCACCTTCTATTGATATGTCGTAGTCGTAGCTAATTGAATAAACCGATATCGAAACTCCATCTCTTCCTATTGATATGTCGTAGTCGTAGCTAATTGAATAAACCGATATCGAAACTCCATCACTTCCTATTGATATGTCGTAGTCGTAGCTAATTGAATAAACCGATATCGAAACTCCATCCTCTATCGAAACTCCATCACTTCCCATTGATATGTCGTAGTCGTAGCTAATTGAATAAACCGATATCGAAACTCCATTACTTTCTGTTACTGGGAATTTACTTAACTTATACAAATGTCAAACTTACACAATGGGCAATAAGTTTACGTATCTCTATAAATTGTAGCATTGAAAAAAAATAATAACATTTTCAAAAAAATGCAAGTTTTAACACTAGAAAGACTGAATCTTAAATACACAAGTGGGCGACCTTTGTGCAAAAATACAAACTAAGGTAGACAACGTTAAAGAGCACAAGAATATTATTAAAAGCAGACAGCTGTTTCGGATGCTTAAAGGGCAACCTTCATCAGTGCAACAGAAAACAATAAGAGAACAGAGTAAATATATATAGAAAGATGACGTCAAAAGAGGGTTTAGAGCAACGGCCAATAGGAGGGAAGGGTGAATGAAGACGACGAATAGGAAGCGAGGAACAGAAAGTTAGGTTTATTAAAAGTTAGTTAGGTTTTATCATAGATTTCCAAATAGGAGAAATATAAGGAACACTTGATAGGTCATTGACCAACAGTTTGGAATTTTTGAAAATATGATAAGACTCGTAAAAAACTCGTAAACTGAATCTAAGTATATACCTATATTGCCCTAAAGCAGTAAAAATGACTGTATTGTAAAAGTATAAATAATGCGTAAAAAAATTTGTTTGAAATTAATTTTTAATATTTTTTACATTATTTACAGTTATATAACAAGTTATTAGTAAATTATGTCAATAAGAAAATTCTATGTTGTACAAAATTCTAAGAAATTGCCTCATACATCATTGTTTTTCTAATTGAAATTAAAAAGCAGTCGAAATGACTTCCTTGGGCAATCTAGTGTTAAGAATGGTGACTTTTAATATTTATGAAGAATGTCAATTAATTTGTTACAGACATTACATCTGGTATTACCAGGTACGCCGAGAACTTATATTTTTGAAAAGGGGATTTTTCTGAATGAAATGTTGAAATTGACCGAATCAAAAACAAGTAATATTAAAAAAAATTTCTAAAGTCAATTTCTATTCAAGTCAACTAAGAAAATTTTTATTTTAGTTACTTTTTATTAAGTAATTAAAAATTTTTCTCCCATATAAAACTAAAATTAATTAATTAAATTTAATTAATGAATTAATATTTGAAAAAACAGAAAAACATCAAGTGTGATCAAATGAAAGTTTAAAAAAATGTATTTGAAGTCGAGTGGACAAATAAAAAGTATTTTATTAACGATTAAAAATTTGAACAAGATATATAGAGAGAGTATGAACTAATAGTAGGAAAAAAAGAAAGGAAAGAGATTGAAAAAAAGAAAGGAAATTAACTATCAGCTTAAGGCATAAATTTCCCCCGAATGGAATAACAAATAATTTAGTAATCGTCAAATCTCGTCAATTACCAGATAGAAATAAAATAGATATTCTGAGAATCAAACTTTTAAATGAAAATATAGTTTCCGTGATAAAACAATTGAAAAAAGATAGATAAATAAAAAAAAAAACGAATAAAAATCAACTATGAATTAAAAAAAATTGTTGAACTTACTTAAAATTCATTTATTTGTGGAATTCAAAAAATGAACAATAATAAAGTAGATACAGTATAAGAAATGTGTCTATCTGAGAAAAAAAAGTATGGTCAAAATTACTTGAATATGGTAAAATTTACCGTGTTTCTGTTTTGTGGGAACATTAAAAAGCTTATTAATCTCTACCAAAGCGCTTAGGTAATGATTTTGGTAAAATTAACAATAAAATTTGGTTTTATAATATGTGATAAAATTTGGTAAATGTGGTAAAATTTGATAATTTTGTCTATGCAACCTTAGAGCATGGTATAAAAATCATTTATTCGGTTAAATTTGCTTTTTTTGATATTTTACTGAATGTGTGGTAATAAGAACATTAATTTTGAAAACCAAAATGTTCGGTAAACTATTACCATATGAACGAAAAAATTTCCAAATGAGTGGTTTTAACACCGTATATTTTGGTTTTATTAATCAGAAATTTCTTTCGCCAAAAATGTCATTACCATTCAGTATAATTTTACCATAACTTATTTCTCTGTACTTTATGTCTAATTTTTCATGTAAGTAAAATGAATCCAACACATAAACAAATGAAAAATGATTATCTTAAAATTACTATAGATAATTCGCAGTTCGAATTAATCTTTACCTTTTTTTCTCGTAGCGAAGGGATTTTGTATGAATTTCCCACCAATTTAACGAAAATGTAATTTTTATCATAAATTCTATTTTTTCTAATTGAAGTTCTTGATTTGTCGAGGATACAACAATGTAGATATGCTACATCTGTAACACCAATTTTTAAAAAAAATTTGCATGCTAGGAAAAATATCATGGCATAAAAATATCACAAAAAACTGATTTTTGCTTGATTTTTATTACGGACGCAAAAAAAAATTGGCCGATTGAAATTCTAAAATTATTAGAATTATTATTTTTATCATATAGTTACTTTTTCGTTACATAATTGCAGTATAGCCAAAAATAATCGAAATACTGAGAATATTTATTAGTTAAATATTAAAATGGAGTACTTATTTCCCATAATTCTTGGAGGAAAAACGGAAAATGGAGGTATTTATTAAATGCTAATTGAAACTAAACTGCGTAACATTAAAATAAACATTCTAAGCTTTAAAATGATATCAAATATGTTAAATTTGCTAAAGTAAAGAATTCTGGCATTTTAGTTTGCTTTTCGTGGAACTATTTTTTACCTATTTTTTTAATCAAATACAATGCATGAATCAATAAAAAAAGTAGTAGTAATAGTAGTAAAAGTGGTTATAGTTCAACTTTTTCTCATTTTATACCGTAACAAATAACACTCTTAATTAAACTCTATCCAGCATATAAAATATACCTTATATCACTCTTGACTTTATCTTAAAACGCCATTTGGAATTCTATTATTTACAACAATTAATTACAATTATTTATCAATGTTTTAACATTTCTCTCGTTGCTTAGATAAACATGGTTCTTCCTATAATTAAATAGTTGAACTTTGAAAACTATTATTTTTAACATTTACTTATATTTACAAACATTCTATGTTCGTCATTGAAAAACTTTTTGAAAAGCTTGTAACTAAAATTTCTTTCCACTTTTTGCCGGGGAAAGTATTTCGATGAGTGGGTCACAAATATAAAGGTCGAGTTTCTTATCACGCTATTGCCTATAAAAAAAAACTTTTGTGACCCGATTTATTACTGGTACTCTTTGCCTCATGGAAAATTTTGATTTTTCCCCCCTTGTTCTTCTATATTTTTATTTATTTAGTTATTTCCATTTACTCAGTTATTTTTATTTTAGTTATTTTCATTTATTTAGTTATTTTAGCATTTGCATAGTCTTGCAAAATTCAAGATAGAGATCAGGTTTTGAATAAAAGAATGAAAATTTCTGTTGCGTTCAAATAAGCACGTAAACTTAAAGATATAAATCGATCCTTTGGGAAATCCAGGAAACTTTAAAGAATTTATTAGTTAAACAACAGCTTTCTTTTATTTCTTTATTATTGTTTTAAAACCGAAAATGACACCTGTAAATACGTTGAAAATAAATTAATAATATGGCGAATTCCGATAAGGTTTAATGAAATGTCGTGTCTTTTTAATTAACATTTACTTTATAAATATATCGAGTTGATGATTTACAATGCCCTAATCAGATAATATTAAAATAAGCGTCAAAATAATGAAATGTATACATATTTAAAGCCACTTAAAAATTATAAATCAGAAAGTGAAAACATGAGGCTTCAGAGAAACATATACTCCGTTGTTTGGAGGTCATAGTTCAACATGGACTGTAGTTCTCCCTGGTACTACAGTAAGTTAGTAATTAATTTAGAAGGAATTTTTTATGAAAGATTTTAAAAAGAATATATAACAAATACAATTCTAATATGAAAACATTTCCACGGTATTTACGAGTTATGTGCTGTTTACTAATTCATTGTTTAAAACTAGATTAGGACAATTCCTCATATTCTGGCAAACTTTGAAATCCCCCCCTCCAAAATCCTGTTTATTCCCGTTTCTAGCATTTAATGTTCGCATGTTTTCATGGCATATCGATTATCATTTTATAGATTGCACTCACCATTTTATTGCACTTAAATTTGTCGAGAACATATGTGAGATAGTCTGTCCGTTCTCTGAGCATGAGCATCGTTCAGAGAAGACGCACCATGGGGTGGTGTCCACAAATGATTTTCTGAGAGTCCAGGGGTGTACGGTCCTGCCGCTACCAGTGGGATATCGTGATGGTGACCATCTGGATCTTTATTCCCTCGGATGACCTCCGTCATGAAAGCGATGTACATGATGGCCAGCCTCAAGGTCTCGATCCGGGACAACCGCTTCTCATAAGCGAAGGTCGGAACCTTCTTTCGAAGCTTGTCGAAGGCCGAGTTGAGGTTGAACATCCGCCGACGCTCCCTGATGTTGGCTGCTCGACGCTGTGCGATGGTCGCCACTCGTCTCCTTGTCTTGGACTTAATGGATGCCCCGTTGGAGACAGCGCGGGAGGGAGGACCGAGTCGCTGGACACCCATTCCTGTGAGGCGTCCACCTGCACAACCTGGATTGGTGGCACTCAAGGAGAACGGTCCGAATTCGCAGGACGCGAACCCCGCCTGGTGATGGTGGTGGTGACCCTGGTAGGTGGCTGCAAGGGCCGCTGCACTCTGTGCTTCCCAGGCGAGTGAAGCGTAACTTTCGGCGGCCGCAGCAGCTGCAGCGGCTGTATCGAAATAAGTGAAACCTCCTGTAGCGGTGGTGTGTGCGGGTGGTGGCTGGTGATGATGTCGAAATCCAGCAAGTCCGAAATCGTAGGCAAAGTCGGCGGCAACGGCAGCAGCCGCGGCAGAGTTGGTGAGTTCTAGAAAGGCTGCCGCACTCGATCCACACTCAGGTGTGGCAAAAGGAGTTGCGGCGGCGTTAGGAGGCGGCGCCGCCGTGGCCGAGCTAGCGTGAAAGCGATTGACACCGTTTGACGGGTTGAGTGCGCCCGACATGTTAGGCAATGTGGCGTGGAGCCGCCAGATGCAGCCGACAACAGCCGCGGCGGCGCTAATTAGAACATCAAGTCGGGATGCGTAGGTCCCTTTATACTCAACAGATAAAACCCCTCTTCTGAATCGTGCGCCCATCTATTAGGGAAGAATCTCTCTCTCTATTCCCCCCCACCCCTTCGACATCTCTGGATTATTAAGAATATCTTTCTCACTCCCACCCCCTTCCCTCCCCCCATTATGTAGCTATAAAGAAGGCGGTCGCACCTTCCACCCATTGGAGGATCATTCCGATTTTACGCCAGCTCGCGTTTTTGGGTGCGAAAAATTGACAATGGATATAGAAAGGGGCAGATGGGGAAGATCGTTCTTTTTCCCTCCCCCACCGCCATTCCACGCCAAGAGTTGGCGACAGCTCGAAATGCGCGCACAAGCTGCTACTGCGGCACCGGCTCTGGCCAATGGAGTGCGTTGCAGGTGCCGCCCCGATCGATTCCTTCATGTGCTGAGTGCCTTCGTACGAGTGGATTTATGGATTCTTTTCCCTCCCTTCGAACTGCATCTCTAATGGCAAAAGAGGGAAAAAAGTTTCAGATAGCTTCCTTCTAAAATTCTTTTTCCCCTCTTCTTTTTTCCCTTCGTTTTTCTTTTTAGGAGAATCTGAGGAAAACATAAAACTGGCTTTAAATTTCGGAAATTATTTTGCGTAAGTGCTTAGGAAACAAAATATAGCATTAAACTTTTTGACTAGATTCTTTAAGAACTTAGGCAGTAATACTCATTAAGATATGCATTGCAAAATATATCCTGATATGTTTTTGTTCATTTAAATTGTGGTTTAATTCATTTAAGTCCTAAAATGCGTTCTATGATGCCTAATTATTCCATTAGAACTAACTATTATTCAAGTACTAAAATGTGTTCTATGATGTCTAGATATTCCATTAGAACTAACTATTATTTAATTCATTGAAGTCCTAAAATGTGTTCTATGATGTCTAGATATCCCATTAGAACTAACTATTATTTAATTCATTGAAGTCCCAAAATGTGTTCTATGATGTCTAGATATCCCATTAGAACTAACTATTATTTAATTCATTGAAGTCCTAAAATGTGTTCTATGATGTCTAGATATTCCATTAGAACTAACTATTATTTAATTCATTAAAGTCCTAAAATGTGTTCTATGATGTCTAGATATCACATTAGAACTAACTATTATTTTATTCATTGAAGTCCTAAAATGTGTTCTATGATGTCTAGATATTCCATTAGAACTAACTATTATTTAATTCATTGAAGTCCTAAAATGTGTTCTATGATGTCTAGATATTCCATTAGAACTAATTATTATTTAATTCATTGAAGTCCTAAAATATGTTCGATGATGTCTAGATATTCCATTAGAACTAACTATTATTTAATTTATTGAAGTCCTAAAATGTGTTCTATGATGTCTAGATATTCCATTAGAACTAACTATTATTTAAGTATTAAAATGTGTTCTATGATATCTAGATATTCCATTAGTACTAACTATTATTTAATTGATTTAAGTCCTAGAATGCGTTCTATGGTGTCTAGATATTCCATTAGAACTAACTATTATTTTCTCATTTATTAAAAATTACCTATTTACCGATTAGGCTTATTATAATATTAATAGGAAGATTTTTATATTTAGAATTTAAGCGACAATGGAGTCGTTTAAATATTACGTAAGCATGTTTTTGACAATTTTTATTTTAGAACCCCTTTGTCAACAAAAATAAGCAAATCACAATGTTTATTTAAGAAAACCGTATTAACTCCCTTGTTTTTGTTATGACTTTTACAATAGTAATTTAATGTTTCTAATAAATGTTAATAAATAATGTTAGTAAGCGATGTAACTTTGTATAAAACTAAATTTATGTTTCAATTTATTTTATCAAATGAGTAAAACATTTTAAAGGAATCTTTTGTGTTTTCCTTCTATGGGTTAAAACACTGGAAACTCTTACAAGAAATGTGTTTAAAATATTTCCTTTCCCCAAATTTAACTTTAAAATTTTTTGTTGCAATTTACCTCTTTTACTTAAAACTTCTTTTTTAAAAAAAAATGCGATTATAATGTTTTACCTAAGCATTACTCGTACTCCCCGTTGTTAGGAAAATTACGCAAATCACGAAACCCCACCCCCGCAGGGCCGGATTAAGAGCCTTAGAGGCCTTAAGCACAAGATTTTGATGCTCCTTAAATGTAATTAAAAATATCAACATAAATAAGTGAAAAATACTTTTCTTAAATAAAATAAGAGTAAGTTTACAAAAGAGAATTTAAATAACTGAAAGAGGAGGATCTATAATGGAAATAAAAAAAATTTCAAGTAACTCTTTGAAGAGTTTTCAACGCTAACCACATATTTTGTGATCTTAGAGCCGAACTAAAATTATTTTGGTAATTCTGATGTTTTATTTTTTTTAAAATTCTCTGTCCCACAAGCTATTCTTTTCATTTTAATTCAATGAAATATAGCATAATTTTTCATTAAAACTTTCCGGGTGTTCCGTAATATCATTTAATATGCTTTTTAAATTTTTTCTAACAAATAAGTGAAATTTTTTTTATTGTGGATCTCAAATTAATATTCACGTAAAAAAAGTTATCGACCATTAACGAATTTCTATGGAGAATAAAAAAATTTACAAAAGCTTAATACTGTATCAAAATTGAATTAATAATCAATAAAATTAACAAACAATTTTTTTTTTATCTCCGAAAGTGTTGGGACACCTGTGATAATTTTCTGTGAGTTTATAGAATTGTTCTTATGATCTACAGCATTTATTATTATTAACTGAATTAACTCACTTTCGTATTTATAGCGATTGTAACATGCAATTGAAATATCTACTACTTTCCGATTAGCTGCAGTATTCAAATCTGTACTTGAGCTCCGTGCTTATTGAAAATTCAAAAATTCAAGTCGTTTTCTGACCACAACAAATAGAGTTTATTAACACTATATCGGCAAATAGGACGTATCACAAATCGATATTTTAATCACTTAAGTAGCCAAAGTGCTCCAAATTCTACCAGCATTCTATTGACAAAACCAGTTACAATTGCTTCCGGACCACTGAAAGCTAAGTTTATCGTCATTTTAACGCTAAAGAGAATTTTTTTCGTGAAACAAAACTTCGAAATCCTTCGCTTTATGAGTAGAGTCTACAAATTTCAATTGTGTCTGAAACCTAAACTTTGCGTCTGATGACAATTCAAGTTACATTTGTTTCCTAAAGATTGTAAAACAAAATTTATCTCCGTTTTGTTGACAATCAAAATTTTAACGATTTTTCAAACATTAACAGGTAACATTTAAAACAAGAAAAAAATAAAATCAGTTTTATTTATTTTTATTTTGTTTTCTATGGCAGTCGTAAAGACTTCAAAGAATCTCTGGGAAACCCCTGGTATTGCTTCTTTTTCTAGCCTCGTTGCATTATTAAAATTTAAAAAAGATTAATACTTTTAAAATCAAACCAAGTCTCCTTGAATATGAAATTAAATTAAAAAAAGGAAAAATTAACACATACTGATTACAGATAGAGACGCACTGCTTCAATCTGTTCAAGTTTTAAATATTCAATTTTCTGATGTACGCGGAAAATTAGTTGTTGCTGTACTGCTGCTTAGAAAAAATTATTACAAAAACCTAGAAAAAATGATTACTTAAAAAATAATTACGCAAACAGCGATTACGTAAAAATGATTACGCAAAAAGTGATTACGTAAAAATTATTACGTAAAAAGTGATTACGTAAGAGGTGATAACGTGAAAAGTGGTTACTCAAAAAATTTTTACTCAAAAAATATGCAGCAGGAGGCAAACAGCTCTACTCAAATTTGCAGCAGGATGAAAACAACTCAGCTCAGCAACAGGAGACAAACAACTCAACTCAGCAACAGGAGAGGAACAACTCAACTCAGCAACAGGAGGCAAGCAACTCAACTCAACTTGGCAACAGGAGGGAAACAACTCAACTCAGCATGACAACCCAGCAGCAGGAGGGAAACAACTCAACATAGTAGCAAGAGGGAAACAACTCAACTCATCAGCAGGAGGCAAACAACTCAACTCAGCTCAGCAGCAATAGGAAAACATCGCAGGAGATTGAAATAAATAGACATCAATAGTAATTTACTTTAAACCATGATCTTGTGTTAGAGCTTATAACCGAAAAAAATTTGTAAAGAAGATTTCTAGAAATATATTTTTCTTCATTGGCTTCTTGTGGTGTCCCCCTAAGCTCTGGTGCCCTAAGCACGTGGTTAGTATGCTTAATGGTTAATCCGGCCCTGCACCCCCGTCTAGGTACTAACGTAATATTTAAATCGTCTCAACTCGTTGACAAATAAACTAAAATTTATACTCCTATACAACAAACTCTAAAATCCCATTACAAAATTCACAATAACAAGTAATAGGGGAGAGTCGGGTAGCCCCGCCCAGCGGGTACCCCCGCCCACAGTCAATTTCATGTGTATAGAATATTTTTTCAAGTCAATGTGGGCCATCGGACATTAATTGTTGTATTAAAGAAAGATTATTTTCAAAGTTTCAAGTATTTATGCAGCTGGTAACATGGTAAACAATAGTTTTGAAAATATGTTGAATACAGTAGTCATGAAATTAAGAAAAATTGGTTGAATGTTTCGATTAAACTTCATTTTAATACTAAAAAAATAATTTTTTCTATACATACAGCATTAAAGTATGTAGTCTTAAGTTTAATTTGCACAAAGAAAGAAGTTTGTATGTAAAAAATTGTTCGAGTAATTACAAATTTACAAAAAAATTGGATTTCGGGTAGCCCCGCTCACATGAATGTCGGGTATCACCGCCCAATTTTATTTCGTCGATAAATGTACGGTTGCAAAGATTATTATTTTATTGCTTCAAATTTGAATGTTATATGCATTTTTAACAACAAATATATGTTTTAATATTATATGAAACATAAATTTATATATTTAAAAATGAAAAATTAAATATTTTTAAAATGTAATTGATATATCCAAATTAAATTTAATATCAAGAAATCATAAATATTATGATAAGCTATTTGCTTACTTATTTATTTTCACTTATTTGTGAACGAATCAATCTACAGAAGCATTTGAATGCAATCAAAATACAAAGTGAATTT